GTGAAATCCTAGATATAACAATCAAAATACTATTATGAATTTTGGGTCGATATTAAATGAAGTTTCAAATATTAGAAATCTTTGAATTTTATTGAAAAATGACAAAATGATGTAGATTGGACGGGACAGAGTTATATGGTCGCGGACGAGTTTGTGGTCGATATTAATACAGTATGATATACTACGGGTAAAATCCTATAAGTAACAATCAAAATATAACTATACAATCTTAAACACTAAACAAAACTAAACAAATAATATTAACAAAACAAATAAAACTTCAAATTTTAAATCTTTTGTTATAAATATCATCATACAGTGTACCATACATTTAAATCAAATAAAACAATAGCATATATCTATAGATCATCTTAAAAAAAAAAATTTATTATTATTTAATAAAATTATAGACCCGCGGTGTACCGCGGGTTAATATCTAGTATATATATATAGTGCTAACATCAAAATCTGAATCACTTACCAAAAAAAACTTCAAAATCTGAATTGTATTAATTTTTATTAATTAACTGGCCCATTTCAAAACTTTATTGCGAATATTCTAAAGAGATTTTTATTCCATCAAATCCTTTTACATGCAATAAATACTAAAATATGTCATGACACACAGTTCTATAATAACTAGCTAATCAATTGTTTTTGGATTAATTTGTCATCTACTGAAAAACCGATTCTGAGTTATGCTTTTTTATTTATAACAAAGTTATATTTGGTCATGCATGTAACAAATTTAAGAGTAACGTTTCTGAGATATTGGAGACAATATATCCGATCAAGGATGCCATCACTCTTTCTATCACGTGAGTACGTGACTAAATTGCTTGAGCCCTTTCAATAGAACGTACATACATGAAACCTAATTAAAACCCATAATAGTTTGCAACTCTTGGCCATCTTTTAAAATTTTATTGACCAGATGATTCATGAGACAGAAAGAATAAAAAACCATCTACTACGTACTACTGTAATCACAAGACAAAAAAAGAAAAGAAAAGCCAAAGATCATGATCACTCCATTGGCTCCATAACAGCGACTCCACCAGCAGCTTGGATCTTGGCAATGATTTCATTAGCTTCTTCCTTTGTGACATCATCTTTAATGAGGGAGTAGGGGACGTCCTGCACACATTGGAGCGATGGTTGCAGACCCAACTCGGCCAAATGTTTGATCGCTACTACTGTAGATTTGATCCATGCAACCTCTTTCAGCACTTTGGACCTTTTATCAGGGTCATACTTGACCAACTTCACAGCAAATTTTTTATCTTTGCTTTTTATCTCAAGAGGTTTTGGAAGACCCAGCAGCTCACTGAATATATAGCCAAATTTCAACTTTTCACCCGCAGTAAGTAGTTTCATACCCTTTATCATCTCCATGACGAAGGGACGAGGCCGGGGCCTACCATACGGATCTCCCGGCCGCAATCGAATTCGAGGCCGCTCTGGCTGCTCTGTAGGTTTAGGTTGCCGAGGACGAAACCTTCTGCCAAGCGATGCAAGCAAACGACGCCCTTGCACAAAACTCATGGCTATAAGCAAGAAAAAACGATTTAGAATTAACAAAAGAATTTATCAATCTTCACCACTATTTCTAAAAAAAAACCTAAGTTAAGAGTGACTCCACCAGAGATTCATATATTAGAATGCAAAACTAAAATCAATCAATACGATCGAGAAATCGCAAATAAATGATGTGAAAAGGAGAGAGATCTAATTAAGCCGGCGACTAAACAACAAAGGGTACATGCATAGTATGACTAACGTAACCTCCGGCGGCCGTCTCTAAGTTGATGATAAAATGACGACAAGACAGAGAGGGAGCCGGTTGATCCCCCTTTAGCTAGGGTTTATTGCTGAATTTCTGACGATACATGTATTTATTAGGGTTACAATACGAAAATACACTCGTAATAAGTTATTCGTACACATACTCTTTTCTACTATTTTCTTACTCTTAATTATCACATAATTTTGTTTATACGATTGTTGAGTTTTTTTTTTTTTTTTTGGTTTTAAGAGGACCGTCCTTTTCTGCACAAACCAAGGAGCTGTGTGCATATATGTTGAGATTGGCTAGTGGCTTCAACTGGTTGTGCCCATTAATTCCGTCACTTCCACAGACAGGTAACGAGATATGAAAATTGCTAGAGTATTGTCAATTTTGAATCGTCAAACTTTGTAACCTAATTGTGTATGATCTTGATTTGGGACATTAATTCAGTGCAAACACTACAAGAATATTGGTTTTTAATAGCATTACAAGATAGCGTTTTATATATTTTTGCTATAATTGACTTACCTATGATTTATTTATAGCGTTTCTAATTTTAGAAACGCTATGATATGTTACCCCGTAAAAATCAAATTTTAAGCGTCTTTTTTTTTTTATCAGCAATAGCACATATACATTCAAAACGCTATCAAAGGAGTAGCCGCGAAAAATTATTCATAGCCCGCCAAAACAAAATTTGGGCTCCAAAAACATTTAACCTAAAAATATTTAGTTCAGTTATTAAAAAAAGAAAAGAAGTTTTATACTATTTCTTTCTCTCTTTGTTTCTTCTTCTTCCGTAAGCTTCTTCATCTTCTTCCAACTCTCTGTCTCCTTCTTCCTCTCTTTATGCTTCTGTACAACTATTGAATGTAGACCTACAGATTCTTCTCTAAATATTCTTAAAATCTGTAGATCTATTGAAGCTGTTATAATGCACATTTTCTCGAGTCTCAGATCTTAGATCCAGACCCTTGTCGTTTCATTGATCCAAGGTAGATTTGCTTCCTTCTTGTTAATTTCTCTAGGAATTTTAGTCCTCTTTTATCTTGATGCAAGCCGTGTTACAGTCAAAAAGCATTTCACATGTTCACAATCTATCTATAATCTGATTTTTTTTCGAGTAAATCAGGAGATCGAAACACAGCTAATTTGTGGTGGGATCTGATAGATTTTAGGTTTTGTTTGTTCCAGGGATCTATTTCTAAGTTGATGGGTTATGTGGATATGTAAATGGGAGAATTAGCTTAGTGTGGTTATTTTTGCGAGTGACGATTATTTTAGATTGATTTGTACATCATTGAAAGGGCTAGAGCGTTGTTCTTTGTGTTCTATGGATGTTAAGTCCAAAAAGGACATATATAAATCCAATTTAGTGTTTTTTTGTTGTTGTTGCTTTGAATCTAAAAAACGACTGAGGAAGGTAAATTGGAAATTCACTGTAATGAAAGTTGTTTCTTTTGTCTGATTTAGATCGACCTTCCTCTATGGACAGACATTGTGAAGACTGGTCGTTTAAAGAAGCTTGCTCTATACGACCCTCATTGGTAAAAAAGCTTTATTTTTCTTCGTTTGGTTTTGTTTCTTGTTCTCTTTTTATAGAGTCATTGTAAATGTTGTTGATCTCTTATTTGGCGCAGCTTCTATGGTCAGAAAGATTTAGTTGAGAGGAGGTCTTGGAGTTGGTGCTTTCTAAAGAATCTATGGTGGTGGCAAAAGAAATGGAAGTCGACCACCACATTTCTGTAAGAGCCGTGGTGGTTTTGCTCGCCATATTCTCCAACAGTTGGAGACAATGAGCATTGTTGACAAGACACGTCGGCGATGGTGGTAGCTTCCCGTTTGCAGGAGCTTTGCACAAGTCTCAGATTTTCTCCACTACTATCTATTTGCCTTGTTCTTGTGGTATGGTTTGTGTACTTCATTGTGGGTTTTTTATTTATTAATTTGATTGCTTTGAACTTCGGATGTTGTATTATTTGGGATGTTGTATGTTTTACAATAATATTTTATGTTTCGTTTATTTGCTATATTGACTGTCTACCAGAACCCAGAAAGCACAGGAAATACTAATTACTAGAAACGAATTATATATGCATTACAAGAAAATAGAACAATGACAAATTATATTAATGCTATGAAATGAAATCATTAATAACAAAGAGACAGTGCTATTGTAAAGTATACGATAGCAGAGATAAATTTGCTATTAATATTTGAATTTAGATAGCATATACAAAAACCGTTATCTAAAGTGGGTGACCTATTATCGCGGGCGATGAGATAGTGTTTTTAATAACGCTATCATTTCATTAGATAGCGTTTTTATGGTGCTACTAATATTCGTTTTTCCTGAACTATATTGAACCTAGAACACCTTTTAGAGATTTAGATGATGTATCCAATTGGTTTACACAAAATTAAAATATTTAACACTTATCAAAAAAGCAAAAAACAAAACCAAACATTAAAAAAAGAACAAATGTTAAAAATTTAATTATGTGTAAACCATATTGAACCTAGAACACCTCTTAGAGATTTGGATGATGTATCCAATTGGTTTACACAAAATTAAAAAATTTAACACTTATCGAAAAAACAAAAAACAAAACAAAACATTAAAAAAAAGTGTTCAAAATTTAATTATGTGTAAACCATATTGAACCTAGAACACCTCTTAGGGGTTTGGATGATGTATCCAATTGGTTTAACACAAAATTAAAAAATTTAACCACTTATCAGAAAAGCAAAAACCAAAACCAGATATTACAAACAAGCACCACTGTTACTCATTTACTTATGTGTAAACCATATTGAACCTAGAACACCTTTTAGAGATTTGGATGATGTTTCCAATTGCTTACCCCAAACTAACAAATTTACCCGTTATCAAAAAAGCA